AAAAAATTTTTTGCAGCTCTTGTTTGAGACGAGCCGAGCCAATCCCAGCCGAGTTTTTGTAATTGCCAAAAATCGGCTCGGTTGTTACTCTGCGTTTCTGTTGACGCTATTTCGAAGCAAGTCGCGTCGACATCGCTTGGCACTTTGCCACGTGTGCTGGTAGCGACATCCGACGTTCAGTTATTAAATCGGCAATTACAAAAACTCGACTCGGCTCGTCTCATAGACGAGTTGCAAAAAATTTTTCCTTCCGACCGCAGGTAGGGCTGCTCCAGGGCGGATGGCGTCCGCCTGAATGTGGTAGGTTGAAGTAGGGATGGTTTGTGGCGGGTTCCGTTTGGGTCAGGGGAGAGGGCTAGGATAGGTAAATATAAGGACTAAATGGCGTAGGTCTTTTGCCGTATGACTAAGTAACGTACATTTGGAAGGGAGAGGGAAGCAGTGAAGAACGGGAAGGTGAGGAAGTGTGTTCCTGGTTTTTACCGTAGAAACCTGGGGTAGGGGAAGGTAAATACTGTTTGCTTGAAAGTGATTTTATAGCAGGAATGGACAGGGGTCTACCTCTTATTTGCTAGCGGGATTTAGGACAGGGTAGAGAAGGGGACCGAGGATGCAAGTCAGGACTCGAGGCAAGAACTGGAGAGATCAATAAAGAGAAAATGACAACACTGCACATACAAATAAGAGTAAATTAAAGCAAATCTGACTTTATGAATAAAAGCAAAAAAAAACTGAGGTTTTGCTAGTGGAAACTAATCCAAAAAAACCCGTCATCAGTAGAGGGTTTCCTTTTTTATGAAATTGATGCTCAGGCAATGCTGTTTCACAAAACCCCGCCATTAGGCTTCCCTATTTATGAAACTGATGCTTAGTTAAAGCTGTTCCACAAAAACCAGTCATCGCTAGAGAACCTTCCTATTTGTGAAACTGATGCTTAGATAAAGCTGAGAGTCAATAAGTTCTATGAAGTGAGCAGGAGCAGGGTAGAATGGATACATGGGGATGAAGTCAGCCTTCACTGCTGTGCGATTTCGAAGGGAAAAATGTTATGTATAACTGTTGTGTACAGTTGCAGGCTGCGCGAAACAACAGTGTGGAGTTGTCTGCAATTCTTGTGTAAATCCAATCGAACTTATTTACCCTCAGCTTCACCTTAAGCATAAACCTCATAAATGCGGGACTGTTTACTGAAAACGAGTTTTAGTAATAAAATAATAGACCAACAGGACTGTACGCAAGCCATGTGTAAGGTGTTATTTTAAGGTGCAAATTGCCTTTATCTTTTAGATGTAGTAGGGTGATATTTTTCGATGCAGTCTGTGTTTCATTCCTTAGCTGTGAACACAGATCGGACTATGCATGCAGGTAAGAGTGGGAATCGTCAGTACAGCTTCTTACCCGCCATGTATTGAAAAGACATGTAGCTAATTTGCTAGGAGGATGGGTGAAGGGAAAAGATAAAGAGAGTAAGAAGGAGAGGAACTATTTAATATCATGAAAGAAGTAGGTGTGATAGAGTAGGTGGGAGAGGAGGAAACTAACATATGATAAGGATGTTAATTTCATGAGGTTATGAGGAGACAGCTTTTATGAGAATATCGCACTAACTAGGTTTTTATGCGTTTTTGCTGTGCAGCGCTATAGCAGCGCTATAGCGCTGCTACAGCCAGCAAAA